GCACGGCAGTTTTTGAGGGGACTCGAGCGAGCAAACATTTGCCTACAATCCATCGCTGGGTCTTGTTTTGTTTGGCTCCACCACGCGAGCTTTTGCGTACACATGTATGTGCGTTGGTATACGTCTAGATTAATTTAAATCTATCTCTGTCTCTCTCGCTCATTCTCACAGCTCGTTGTGTTGTGTGTGTGCGTGTACTAATACTGCGGCGCAGCTGCGCGCTACTGCTGCTGCACCTGTACGCGTGTATACAAGTTTTTGTTTCTGTGCGCGTGTGGCGCGGTGCAAAAGAGATGAGCGTGACTTTGTCGCGTGAGCTCAAGTTGTAAACATTACATAACCACAGACGTTTGTGCGAAATTGCAAAATAATTACGCCGAGCGCGTGCATATATACGTTTTGCGGCGAAATTTTAACTACGTTTCCCGCGGGCGATCTTACTCGTCGCGAATTACACAGTTGAGTTTGATTGCGCGCGTTCGTTGCGAAAACTTTTAATCGAGAATTCATCCCTCTCGCTGAGAAAAGACAGAAAGATTTAAAAATTCACGATCGCAAGCGAGTGTTGAATGAATAATGATGCGCGCGATGTGCATGAGATTTCGTTTACGCACGTGTTCCGTGCAATACGACTAAGATCAACGTTTACACCCGAAAGTACCCCGCTGGTCAGTTACTGATGCACATGTTCGTATAAACACAAATTTCTGCCACATACAAGTTCACTCCACACGTATATGTGGCATTTCACGTCAACTCTCCCAGTGTCGCGCGGTGCGGCAGAATTAAGCCAAATCACTAAATTTGTGAATCGCTGTAAAAGTACTAAAATGCACCTAGAGAAAAAAACGAACCCATGATTTCGATCGGAAATCGCCTCAGCTTTTCGATGGTCAGGTCAGATTTTCCGAAATTTTCCGCTTTACCCGGGAAAATCGCTGGGAAAACTTTAAAGTCGACTATCTCGGAAACTTCATTTTTAAGATTTTTTTAAATAGTGTAGATCGAAAGATCAGGAAATTTCCCATCGATATAGACCTTTTCCAGAGAGGCGTCTTTTGATTTTAGCGAGATATAGCGAGAGAAAGAAGAAAAAACGTGGGTTTTTTGTTCGGTTGGTGGCGGCCGACCGCCCGCGCGCGCCAAAAAACCACGTTTTTTCTTCTTTCTCTCGCTATATCTCGCTAAAATAAAAAAACGCCTCTCTAGAAAATGTCTATATCGATGGAAAATTTCCTGATCTTTCAATCTAGACTATTTAAAAAAAATCTTAAAAATGAAGTTTTTGAGATAATCGACTCTAAAGTTTTCCCAGCGATTTTCCCGGGTAAAGCGGAAAATTTCGGAAAATCTGACCTTACCATTGGAAAGCTGAGGCAATTTCCTATCGAAATCATGTGTTTGTTTTTTTCTGTAAGTGCATTTTAGTACTTTTACAGCGATTTACAAATTTAGTGATTTGACTTAATTCTACCGCGCCGCGCGGCACTGGGAGAGTTGACGTGAAATGCCACATATGTGGTTGCGAGCATATAAAGAGTCGGTGGCGCAGAAAAAGGGATAAACAGCTCAAGAGCCCAATGAATTATGCAAGTTAGCTCCCTCAAGAAGCGTCTTTGAGTTATTCAACGTTACAGCAAACCCCAAAATGGAGCGAGAGCAAGAAAGAGAGAGAAAAGAGAAAATAAGATTCCCCATGAGACAAGCTGGCGTTTGGATACCCAAGATGAATATAAGGGGCATACCGTTGAGCTGGAAGCTCGTCGTATTACAATATTACACGGGAGAAACATCCTTACCCGGCAACTAGAATCGGGCGCCATCTCGTCAGTCGTGCATCCTCTCTGTTCCCGGAGAATATAGTACGCGCATATGCATCTGTGCTTGTGCTCCCTCTCTCTTTTCCTACTTAGCAAACACGTACTGTCACTTCGCTAAAGACTAGTTTTCTGCCGTTTTCTGCTCTCGTGTCGTTTTCTGCTTTTAAGTCTTGCACGTCAAATAATACAAAGCTCTTTTGGTAGAATTGTGACTGTTGAATTTTTGGTTTTTGCATTTAATATTATTCAACAATTGTGGAAGAAGAAAACTTCAACAATGTGCTAGAATGAAATGCACAATATGGAGATGTGAAATGATTCGGATGGATCATTTTCATCGAGTTGGCTTAAAAATTTCATTCTTCCCCAAGTTAAAAATCGAAATCTTACTGATATTTCTGTTGTAATACCGTTTGTGAAACTGTGCAAGTCATCAAAAACTGTGATTGAGTTGTGCAGAAAATAGTGTATTATGATACGTGTGACTGAAGCAGGCCATTATTGCACGGCACATGCTAGTGCCATGGTAAGAATGGGCTACTTGAGTCATCAGTATGTCACCATCACGGTGCAATAATGAGCAGCTTAAGTCACGGCAAAGCGTGCCTTGAATGTGAACTTTAGCCACGCAGTGCTATAAAATTCATTTTTTCAAAGAAAGCCTTATTTTAGGTTGACTTTCGTTAAAATCACGGCACTCATATCCAACTAAGGCGTCCTCGTTCACGTGCAACATACCTTTAAGAGTAAATGAGTCATATAGTGCTGGTATTTTTGACTTCTCGAAAGCGTTCGACACTGTGTCACACATGCACTTGAGAAGGTATTTATGCTGATCGGGAATTTTGTTATCACTTGCGAGTTTACATTACGCCATCTGTTGATGGAATCAAAAAGCTCATGATCAAATATGACACCTTTGATTACGATCAATCTTGTTATAATATGAAACAACTTTTGAAATATTAATCCTAACATACAGTACAAACAAATAAATAAATTCAAATCAAAGTATTAAAAAATAAATTATAATGTTAAGTAGAACCCAAAATTTCCCTTCTTGTGCCAAGGAATAATAGATTATCAAACTATCGGAAGTGATTTGATTATACTTAATAATTTAAATTAAATGTGTTAATTGCATCTTTTATCTTTTTTATAATTTATCTTTATATCTTGAAATCATCAGGATCATACTATGCTATGCTTAAAAATATGCCGTATAAGTTTATGCTCAAATTTAGTTAATAAGCAATTTAAGAAATATTTTCAAAATATGTATAGTCTGACGAGACTTACCCTTTGACCCAAGGAAGAATGTAATCTAACACTTGGCATTGAAAACGAAGAAACTGCTGTTCTTGCTTTCGATTGTAAGATCTTGTTAGAATATATGTATAAGCAAACATGAAACATGACTCGGTAACGCGGAGCTTCATTGTCAAAGACGATGACAGTGAGTAATTACAAGTTCTGCAGCTGAACGCGTGGTAGGTAGAGTTCCCNCCGCCTATAACCATGACATCGATGAAAATTCCTTCGAACAATATTATTTGTTTCGTCGGCGCATATCAAAGTACTCCAGATGAGCGGAGTATAATAGAAAGAGATATAATTTGTGAAACACAGTTTTTGTTTTATATTCTTGTCATCGCAGACTGTTGTGGATGTGGTCGAATAGTACATTACTGCCCTAAGCCGCAAAAACAGGAAAGTCTCAGGGTACGTGTAATTAGCGGACGAGGCGAAGCCGAGGCCAATAAACACGTGCCCTGAGCCTTTCTGTTTTCGCGGCTTAGGCCTGTATACTATTTTTCATACCCCGTGGCCCGAAAATAGCTCTTCCCGTTTTGTGCAGCGGCCGGGAAGTAGTCACTTTCGGGCCACTGGTATGAAAAAATCATATCACCCGCACAATCCGTCGTCTCGAAATTTAACCCTTCCCAGTCCTCCAAACAACAATAAAGCCTCTCAATGATGTCTTCATTATGTTTAGCGGATGCGCGTACTAAATAATGTCATAATATAATAAATTACTAGCAGCGCGGTGAGAGAGGCTTGTTCGAAGTTACACGAAAATCATTCAACTCGAAAGCTCGCTCTAGCTCGGGGGTATTGGCAAGTAATGATGCCCGTCAAGTTTCTCGGCTTACAGACAGCTATATACGCACATACGCGTGCGTCCGTTGCCCTATATATAGATATACGGTGTGTATCAGCGAGTTTACCAGGCCCGCATCATCATTATTCATTGCCGGCCTCGGTTCCGGCGATACACTGTTTTATTTACGTATCATGCATACTCACACACACACACACACACACACACACAGACGCTTGCGCTGCTACAAGAGTGAGAGGACGTAACGAACGGAAAATCAACGTCGACATATTAGTTAGACGACGAGGACAGGGTACGTCGTCGCCGTTGTCGTCTACCTACTATACTTCATATTACAAACTATATGCGTGTGTTTATACGCGCGAGCGTGTGTGTATATGTGTGTAAGCCAGCGACGCGCGTCGGAATTATTATATGAGCAAAAGCGTGAGGCCGAGCTTGTGGCAGTATTATATTATATACCTATACATAGCAGGCTACGCTCCAGGTATATAGTTCAGCAACTCCGCGTGTAATATTGTTTACACCGGATGATCGTGACGTCTAGTGTTCTGGAGACGAATGAGGCTTTCGCCATTCTCGCTCGCTCGCTCACTAGGTGCAGTGCATTGTGCTGTAAGCTCGCATTGCACTCGAATTATATATAGCTCCACGTGTGTAATGAAAAAGCTGACTTGGGGAATTTTTTTTTCTTCCTCTCTTTGTTCTGCAGCTATCTGCTCGCAGTTCGGTATTTCCCGACGATTTCCTCGCGATTACTAAATTACGGCGCCGGTGGTAAAATTGCTTCGACTCGCGCGAACGAACGAACGAACTGTAGCGCGCGGAATTCACGCCAAAGTCAACACAGTCTTATACTGCGCATAAAGCAGCATAACTTGCACGGGCGAATTGATTTATTCTGTGCAGCTGGAGAGAGAGCTGCTTACTTAAGCTCTTGGCTCGATACCTTGCCTCTCAAGCCGCATACAGTCAAAAATGAAAATGCAAATATTACGAGGGCCAATTGCGAATTATCATCATCATTATTATCATTTTATAACCATAAAAAAACTTACCCATTGCCGGGGCGTAGATGTTGAGATACAGGCAGTCCTCGCTCTGGTTGCGCAGATGCGGCAGTGCCCTCTTGAGGTACTCGAGCCTGCCTCTGGGCATGCGATCGAGCGCCTCCTGCTCGTTCGTGATGTCCGGCAGTTTTTGCGGACACACAGGACCGAGGCGTTCGGCCAATCTGAAATTCAAACGCGCGCATACGTACACGGCACTATCAGTATATATATACGTACATGTATGGTTTGCGGTCGGTTCGCTCATACGTGTTTCACATGAAGCTACAAAACGAGGACCATAGAATTTACCTCGGATACGTGTGTGCGCAGCAGCACCGCACACGAATTCGTTTATATAAATGAAACTTGACCGAGGAAGCGAGAAAGCTCGAAATTCAGAAGAAACTGAATTAGACCCGAAGGTTTCAAGCTGAATGTATCGTGGAGTGTACATTTCTATCGTTCCAATGTAATGAACATTGACCGAGATTAAAGTTCAGAGATCAAACTTTATTTTATCGATGCGCGAGTGCAGAGAATAATCAACAATGAATTTCTTTTTCTTTTTTCCTATGTGAATGCTTGAGCATTGAATACACGCAACTTCACCTGCAGTGGCAAATGTTCAAAATCTTTTCCAGAAAAAAATAGTACTTGATTTTGGTTCAGATTATTTTAGAGACAAAAATTTATGAGTAAGTGAAAAACTTCTCCTTTTATTCATTTTGCGTACTCGTGCAACCATTGTGATTCTTTTTATATACTGCTGCGTTAATAAAATAGGTCATGGCCCTCTTTTTGTCGCTGAGTTTAAAAAAATAATTGTATGCGTTGAATCGACGATAATGTGTGATAGAACCAATGTTAGCTATTCCGATCAAACTTCAGTTAGTGACCAAACAAGTACCGATCGTTGTACATGAAGAAGTCTCACATAAAAAAAGTAGGTAATCGTACGGACATTAGTTAGAGTGCAGTAGTAAACGATGTTGTATGATTAATGACTCACTTGTTTCCGTCCCAGGGGCTGAGCGCCCTCGTCGGTGAGAACCGATTACCACCGGTCGGCGGGGTCGCGTACGGCACCCCAAGGTACACGTCGATTGGCTTCAGATACTTTGCACCCTCGAACGACATTATAATACCTTGAATCTTTCCGTACCTGAAAAAAACGAAAAAACTTCCTTCGTTAGCTGCTCTTTATTTTACGGGGGAAAAGTGGATAAAAAAAAGATGAAGAAACCCACTTTGATTCTATACAAGTTTTTGCTCAAGGAATAAATTAAGTCTCAGATGGTGAGAGGAACTTTTTTCTCGCCTCTCTCTCTCCCTCTCTCTCTCTCTCTCTCTTTTATTTTTCTCCTTGAGATCACTTTACGTATTTGAGCTTGTCTTTGTATTATGGAATCAAACGTTTACTATTATAACGTGACACACACAATAGCGGCTTTGCACGCAGACCACGTTTTGCGCGGCTATGTGCGAGAATGCATTGGCAATATTATACCGCGGTACATTCACGTTTTAGCGCTAGAAAGTACTGCGTGTGCTTTCGGTTTTAATGCGATTTAACTAGATAAAGTACTGTACAACCCTTTCCGCGTATATCTCGTGTACTTTGGCAAAATCCTTCGTTCCCTTTTGGACCGTTTCGGTGTACTTCCTGTATATTCTCATCTTACCCATGCTATACACACTCTGCTGCATTTTCTAGAATCCTTTTTTTTCTTTATTACTATTATTATTTCTCTTTTTCGAATCGAGTTTCCTTATCAAAACCCAAGTTCTAATGAAATTCAACCTACCCCGCACACGTATAAGAACTTTCCCTCTCCTGGACCAAAGTATTGGATTAGATTACCCGCAAGGTAAATTCTGGGTTACCTGCCCACGAAGAGAGAAAACAATCTTTCGGCTGCACTCTGTGAGAATGTGCTTTTCATTCGGAACACAACACCCAATAATCAGCTCTCCCTCTCTTGCGTCTTATCCGATGATGCACACACACACACACGTCTACACACATATACAACACACAGTGGAATTGAGCAAGATTCAATCACCCTGTTAGTGCTATTTGATGCTAGGCAAAGCCTTTGATAGGATAAACCATCGAAGCTTTGGCGGACGCCTTTCAGTGCCTGAACCGTTCAAGCGATGGTCTTATGCATTAACCAAGCGTCGGTCGAAAAATGTATTTTGAGGAACGCTGATAAAACTGTCGAGTATTTTGAAATATATTTTTAGTTGCATCTTAAGATTCATCGACGTAATCAAACAACTTTTTCAATTTATTATATGAAAGTATACCGTACATACCAAAATGCAACATGCAATAAAAGTTGACATAAAAAATATTGATCGTATCAAGTTTGAAATTCGATTTAACATTAAAAATATAGGTCAGAACTGAAATATTCGTCCGAAAATCGTATCAAAAAATATTATGCAGTGGTAGCAAAATACTGCTGATAATAATGAAAAAATTGTTGCCAAAAACTAGTAAAATTACTCTAGAGAGAAGTTGGCCAGGCTATTTTATTTTTTAAGTGATACAGAAAAATTCCAGTCAGGCAATAAAAAAAATACCCTCTCGATCGGTATTCATATTGAATTTCAAAAATCGACGAAATGCTAAATTAACAAGAGCTCGTCAATTAGGCATCAGTGTGTACGTGCGTTAAACGCGTCGAGGAAGAAAAGAATTTAAAAATCAACAACCGCATCGAGCAAAGTTAATTCTTGTTTCCAAAAGATTCAAAAAAATTCTCTCGAGGATTACCCGATGTAGCTCAAGAGCATCGACAAGAGAAAAAGATTCAGTGGCAAAAAAATTGAACAATTGCCAAGCAGCTGTGCTCCCGTTTCGAGTTATATTGTGGGCAAAAGAATCATAAGGTGTGATGTCATTTTTCTCTATAGTTATGTGTCGATCATTATTATTTCTATGGATATGAGACACGTATCAAGAATTTACTGATTTAAGCTGTATTTTATCAACTATTATTTTCACGAAAACCTTTGAATTTTGTTTTTATAGCATTTGTAAGGTACTTACAGCGATTTAATTAAATCATTTGGTTGTGGGTTTAGCAAACGCGCGTACTCATTTCTGACGTACATAAAATAATTGGATAAGAGATCAGGAGGAAGTTTAAATTATTTTCAAAAACTTTACTAATTGATTATGCTCAAATAACTGTAAGAGAATTAACATGAAAATGTAACCATAGAAACATTTTATGATGGTTCAAAAATCATTTTATTAGCTTTTTTTCTTGCTGTTCATTGATCTACATGTACAGAAAATTATAAAAGTTATCTACCGAATTCACGAGGACTTTTATATTACATTTTTGAGCCTTTTATTTCACGAGCGCTAAGCTAAATTTAATAAAGTCAATGGCTGCTCGTCCAACTGGGCTCCGATGAAATTTAATTGTAATATTATAGTACTTTAACTTTTCTACGCCGTTCTCTCTCTCTCTCTCTTTCTCTCTCTCTCTCTCTCTCTTTCATGCGCGTTGTATTTTGTAATATTATTATTTTTACGTAAATGAAGGCTTTTAACAGAAGGCGTATACTCACGTACATCATGTATAGCCATTTCCGTAATGCGCTCAACGCGCGCGCGCACACGAATTTGTTTCATTCAAGCTGCCGAGAAGCTCGTGCGCGCTTCATCACCATTCAAATTCAATGAAACGCTTGATTAATCTCGTTTCGCTATGTATATAAACGCGCACACCAAAAATAAAAGCGACACGTCCAAGCGCTTTAAAAATTGACAAAGGAAAAGATTGACAAAGATACGATAAAGTATTAAATGTAAAATTTGTAAGTACGAACCTGGTCTGAACGACTCGAGGATTTGGCTTGGTCTTGGTCGCAACGGGCTGTACTCTGCGCATGAGGCACGCACTGAGTACTAATATAAGGAGTGTCCTCAGCAGCTCCATTCTGAGGGCGAGCTCGCCCTCCTGCGACAAACGGCCTCGGCTCCAGCTTTCACCTTTGACGACTCGGTCGTGCGGATGTCACGTCGCCGTCGTCCTTCATTATCTACTACTGCTGCTGCTTTTTCGTCTTCTTCTACTGGTCGTAGTAGTAGTCGGGGAGCTTTTTCTCGCAGTTCTCTGCATGTGCCGCGTGTACCATTGGGCTCGAAAACAGGCCAATTAAATTTTGCGGTCCCGCAGATGAGAACGGCGATGGCGAACGAGCGTATACGGCAGCAGGTACGAAAGAGCAAAAGTAAAGGAAGGAAAGTAGATGGAGGAAGAAGACGTAGTAGAAGAGAAGGGAAGAGAGGAGGAAAACTTGTTCAGGTCGTTTTTTTTTCGCTCCCTTTTTTTCTGCCGGTGCTGCCGCTTGGTCGTGTAGCTGACACTTGCGAAAGAGCTATATACGTATACTACTACGTTCAGCCGGCCTCGGCTTGTGAATGTCTTATCCGTTCGTTAATCCAATTAAGTCGTTGCTGCAGCATACTCGATATTTTGCCCTCAGCTCACTCCAGGCCTTTTCTGCCAATTTCTGCAACTGAGAGCGGAGAAAAGAAAAAAAGAGAGATCAGTTTTATTTCGTTAGTGCGTTCGAGCGTGTGGATCGGTCGGGGGTTGGCTATGTGTGTGTGGGTGAGTGAGAGGCGAGCTTTGGCTTCAATTAAGCATCGAGAGCGAGTATCGTGCATCGTTTAATTTGAACTATTATATATATATCTGTATACTCGTACTATACCACGACAGAGCTGCATCTCGCAAATATATGGGTATAGATTCGCAAGGCGTCTTTGTTCGGCCAGAGAATCCTTGCTTGTACGTTTAAATACCCTCAAAGGAGGGATTTTTTTATCGGACGTTTAACGAGATATTGCCCTCGATTGCCAACTTTTATGTGACTGTTAAAGTAAAGGAGGGACAGACGGACAGACAGCAGCTCAAAGAATGCCCCCGCACAAGCGAGAGATTCTCGATGTTTTGCGCAAAGTACGAAAAAAAAAGTGGGCGTTATGTACGCGGGTACACGTTCGCATATACACATGTACCACAGCGAAGCTTTATGAATGCGTGCACGAGTATAAAATATGATCTACAAGAGCTAATGCCTCTGCCACGCGTTCGCTAACACGTTTTGCATAGGGAAAAAGTTTTGTATAGGCCGAGGATGAAACATGACTGTTTGAGAAAGTTAATATCTCGATGTACTTTGCTGCTGCTGCCGCCGCCGCCGCTACCACCGCTGCTTCTGCTGCTGCTGCTCTATGCACTGTAACATTCTGCAGCTTTCAAAAATATATATAAGCGCGCGTGTACTCAATAGGTACACGTATACGAAACTCTGGGTTTGAATACAAGCGAGCGGGCTCGTGCTCTATAGGCTACAGCAGCAGCAGCAAGTTTTGGGTAAACTTTTGATCGTCGCCTAGCTGTGCATTATGCCGGAAAAGCCTTTAAACTTTTTTTACCCCACCTCCCGCGAGGGCTCCGGCAGCCTCGCCTACAGCGCAACAGCAGCTCTGAAAGGTTACGGCCCGCGCGTTATCGCTCGGCGCAAAGACGATAAAAATATCGCGTCACACCCTTGCGCGCGCCCTTGTACAACAGCAGCAGGCAGCGCATCTCGCAAATAGGTGAGAATTCACTTGTTATAAAAGCTCGAGACAGCGTCGACGACGACGACGACGACTACGAGAGCAGACTAAGAGCTTTGCAAAGAGGATTCTCAATCGTAGGGATGATTAATTTCTGAGAATTCTTCTTCGGGCTTGCAGCTTGCACGCACTGCGTACGATCGTTGGGGCGCGTTACGTAAGAGCTAAATAAAAAAAAAAACTCACGGCACGGGTACGAGACTTCGTGGGGGGGTCTGCGATAGTTAACAACGAATGCAACGAGAGCAGTACGACGTACAATGTATATAATAATACTTATAATAACGTACGTGACAGGTGGCAGGCTCGCGAAAAGATAAAGAGACCTCGAGACGAGAGAAGAGAAAGATGAGACGTACGTATATATATATAGTGGCGGAGCTCTAGGTACGCACGCGTCCGCGTTTCGTCTAATGAGCCGTGTGAACAGCTGTAGATGTTTTATATATATGTACGTTATACGTAGCAGGTAGTAGCTGTGTGTATATATAAGCCGTATGTAGTAGCTTGTTACTCGAGCGCGACAAGTCTGCTGCTGCTGCTGCCGCCGCCGAGCGCTGCCAAGCCAAGCTCTAGCACTGAAATAAGAGTGCAGTGCTCTCTCGCGCGCGCACACACCCACCCACCGCTAGCTACTACTACCACTTCTTACCCCCTTTGCACAGCGGCACACGTGTGGGTGGGTGTGTGCGCATATACGACTGTACAGTGTGCAGTGTACGGCACGACGAGCAGCTCAACTACATACACTGCTGTACATGTAGCTTGACTCGAGTCGCGTTCGAGCAACTAGCTACTACTCCGGCGCTGAAGATCTGCCACCTACGAGCTTTTTTTTTCTTCTTCTTCTTCTACTTCTACTTCTTTCCTCGGAGCTGCTCGCGTGTAACTATCTCGCTCGGCTCTCGAGCTTTTCTCTCTCTCTCTCTCTCTCTCAAGCGCGAAGGCATTGAACTTATGTATACGCAGTGCGCAGGCATAGGAGTACACAGCAGCTTCACGACACTTCCGCTGAAAGAGCGCGAATATAATCTATCATTTTTAATGGTCGAATTTTATCAAGTTTTTATCGACGCTTATACGACGGTATAAACTTCCCAGCCCAACGCGCGTCCTAGTTACAGCTTGTAATGTACCGCTCGTGTGTGCGAGTTGTGCGCGCTGCGCAGACAGCGAACAAGTTTCTGCAACATCGCGCCTCGTGTCGGGGCAAACACGGCGCGCCAGACGATCTGCACGCCGACGCGAGCTGAGCGACTTTCGCATATAGCCGGCCATATTCCCGCGTTATAGTACGCGATCGTATGTATATGCGCGCGCGCCCGAACTCTGTCTGCTGAGCTGCGTTGCAATAGGTGGAAAAGTTACTTTATATACTTATGGCATCTTGCGCATTCGGAGCAAACTACTAATACTACTATTGCCACTACTACTACTATTACTATTATACGCCCTAAGCGTTAACTCGATGACTTGCTAATGTCTGCGCACTATAGCAGCTAGCGCACAGCCACCCCCGTCTCGTGACCCCGACGCGATATCGAATTTATATAAGCACGACCCGAGCGTGTATTACAATTTTGGATGCGCTATGATATTGCAGCATCGCTTCTCTGCAGCTGTACATTTTGCACACTTGGCCCAAGATCAGCTCTAGAACAGTCGCAACAATCTATGTGCGAATACGTACGTACGTACAAAAATACATTTTGATCCTGCAAAGTTAGATAGATATATGCAAACCGAATACTTCGGTGACAAATTTTATGATAGAAAAGTCGCTCTCTCTCTCTTCTCTCGTCGTTAGCCACGACGTATAGAGAGCATGCACACGTGACCACCCGAATGCAGAGAGCGAGAGAGAGAGAGAGAAAGAGAAAAGGCTGAAAATAAAAGTGAACGTGTCCGCACGAGGTAACTCCGGTAATTGCGCTATAAAAAAACGTAAAAATACCTCAACGTCGCTCTTAAATTTAAATTTTTCAGCGCACAAAGCTCGAGGGCTAACGCGCAGTGGTGCACAGCTCGCAAGAAAGAAAAGAGGAAGAGGAAGAGAGAAAGAGGAGAGCAGCGCAGAGCAGAGCAAAAAAAAAGAAGAGAACAACGAGGCAAGGACCGCAAAAGAGTGCAAGTAGTATTATATAGGGCTCCCGCGCGCCGTATAAGGGTCAAGGACTGCGCGAGTTGGCTTGTACGCAAAGTAATTCATAGTCGCAACAGAGCCTAGTCCTCCTGCTGCTACGCTCGAGTATTTTTTTGAATTTCAAATTTGGTCCCTGATACATTAGGACTCAATTATCATACAGAAGAAGCGCCGCAGCGCGAGACGTGCGCACAGCTTAATTATTCTTGCAAAATCATAAAAATAACTTTCGAGTTTGAGCTGCTGCCGCTGCTAGTAAGAAGAAAGCGAGAGAAAAATTTGCTTAAAATAACCGCATCGCGCGGTATATACGAGACGGCTCCGAAAGAAATGTTCGTGCCCGCGCACAGCGGGGCGGTCGCGATATATAGGTACGTATAGCAGAGCGCGTGAGGAAACGAGAGCATAAATACGAGGAGATGGAAAAGAAAAGTCGAAAGAGCGAGGGAGGCAAAAAAAAAAGTATATAATATACTCGCGCGCTAAGCTAAGTGTGTATGGCTGCAAATCTCTCAAAACCGGTAAGTCTCTTCCTATTACTGCCTCTCGGAATTAAAAGAGTCACGACGTACATATAGACATAAGCAGCTTGCAGGCTCTGTAAAGGCACGAGCCGCAAAAGTGAGTACTGGGAGCATGCAGAGACAGAGAGAGAGAGAGAGAGAGAGAGCTCCAAGAGAAGCGGTGCTGCACTTGCAGCTTTCTCTCTCTCTCTCTCGCTGCTTATAAATGCATATAAATTCGTGTGCGCTCGTAGCACGTTGCCTCTATATACAGTATATATAGGCGTGCTCAACCGTTGCGAGATGGGGGTCGAGAATCGCCCGGGGGCACTCGAAACACGTATACACACTATTTACTCGGTCTACTGGTATGGATCGCCATGTACTTATACTGTACGAGTTCCGAGCCCATATTTATATATATTGCGTGTGTGAGTGTGCATAGAGCTTGCGTATACGCGCAGCAACGTATACAAGTTTGTGTGCCTGCATTTGAGAACGCCGCCGCCGTTGTAGCGATCGTCGTTTGTACCCTTACGCTAGCAAGTCGGACCCTATCGGAAGCTATCCTTATCACAGGGGCTCTCGCACATATGTAAGAGCGGGGGCATTTATGTGATCTAGTCTTTGTTAATATAGAAATTCGTGCGCGTGTGTGTGATGGGTGGGCGCGGGGGTTTGGACGCTTTGACGTGTTAAACTGACACCTATATAACGTACGGTCAATTTCATAAAGCGACGTGACGCTAATGTGTGCGCAGCTCCTACCTCCTGCGTATGGGTGCATGTATTACAAATACAAGGCGCGCGTGCAGACCGTCATTGGTACAAGAGAAATTCTGTGTATGTCTGGCTGCCTGCGTGTACGCTGCTACATGATGTCGAGCTGCTACTGCGACCACTGCTACTACTGCGACTACATATATGCTTCGTCTATAATACGTGGGTGTGCGTGTGTGCAGCTTTGCGGTCGATGATTGCGATATGCGCGCGCACAAACA